GCGCCTGGTCGATGCATGGCTGGCGGTATCCGGCATAGCAGGCTGGTACATCAAGTAGCGCATGGCACATAGATGATGACACAGCAACGACATAGCTCGATTGCGACGTACGTTTCGTCCCCGCTGGACTCATCAGGCAATCTTCTTCTTCTTGGATGTCTTCATATGGAGCTTGACTCGGGAGAATGAAATTGAAGACACCACTGCAGCTGAACTTATGGTTGATAAATATGGTGGTAAAGACACACCTGGCAATATGGCGGTAAACACACGCCGGCCCACACACACTCTCTAGGCTGCAAAGTTCTGGCACAGAGCTCTCCTTCTCACCACCACCACCATCAGTTCGCGCCTGGCGCCTGGTCGATGCATGGCTGGCGGTATCCGGCATAGCAGGCTGGTACATCAAGTAGCGCATGGCACATAGATGATGACACAGCAACGACATAGCTCGATTGCGACGTACGTTTCGTCCCCGCTGGACTCATCAGGCAATCTTCTTCTTCTTGGATGTCTTCATACGGAGCTTGACTCGGGAGAAAGAAATTGAAGACACCACTGCAGCTGTACTTATGGTTGATAAATATGGTGGTAAAGACACACCTGGCAATATGGCGATAAACACACGCCTGCCCACACACGCTCTCTAGGCTGCAAAGTTCTGGCACAGAGCTCTCCTTCTCACCACCACCACCATCAGTTCGCCCCTGGCGCCTGGTCGATGCATGGCTGGTGGTATCCGGCATAGCAGGCTGGTACATCAAGTAGCGCATGGCACATAGATGATGACACAGCAACGACATCTCGATTGCGACGTACGTTTCGTCCCCGCTGGACTCATCAGGCAATCTTCTTCTTCTTGGATGTCTTCATATGGAGCTTGACTCGGGAGAATGAAATTGAAGACACCACTGCAGCTGTAATTATGGTTGATAAATATGGTGGTATAGACACACCTGGCAATATGGCGGTAAACACACGCCTGCCCACACACGCTCTCTAGGCTGCAACGTTCTGGCACAGAGCTCTCCTTCTCACCACCACCACCATCAGTTCGCGCCTGGCGCCTGGTCGATTCATGGCTGGCGGTATCCGGCATAGCAGGCTGGTACATCAAGTAGCGCATGGCACATAGATGATGACACAGCAACGACATAGCTCGATTGCGATGTACGTTTCGTCCCCGCTGGACTCATCAGGCAATCTTCTTCTTCTTGGATGTCTTCATACGGAGCTTGACTCGAGAGAATGAAATTGAAGACACCACTGCAGCTGTACTTATGGTTGTTAAATATGGTGGTAAAGACACACCTGGCAATATGGCGGTAAACACACGCCTGCCCACACACGCTCTCTAGGCTGCAAAGTTCTGGCACAGAGCTCTCCTTCTCACCACCACCACCATCAGTTCGCGCCTGGCGCCTGGTCGATGCATGGCTGGCGGTATCTGGCATAGCAGGCTGGTACATCAAGTAGCGCATGGCACATAGATGATGACACAGCAGCGGCATAGCTCGATTGCGACGTACGTTTCGTCCCCGCTGGACTCATCAGGCAATCTTCTTCTTCTTGGATGTCTTCATACGGAGCTTGACTCGGGAGAATGAAATTGAAGACACCACTGCAGCTGTACTTATGGTTGATAAATATGGTGGTAAAGACACACCTGGCAATATGGCGGTAAACACACGCCTGCCCACACAAGGTCCGTATGAACAAGAGGTGTCCCTCAAGGCTCTGTCCTTGGGCCACTGCTCTTTTGTATATAAACCCGCGATGCACCACAATGCTTCAGGCATTCATCTAACAAACTCTTTGCAGATGTTATAACCTTCCATATCCGTAGCCATTCTTGTCAAACAGGAACTGCTCGACTGAGCGAGGACTTGGCTGCTCTCGATGGCTATCTTGAAAGGAAAGGACTTTTATTGAATCCATCTAAGACCCAGGCTTTAATACTTTGCCGCCCTGGTAAAGAGCAGCCACCTGGTACAGCAATTCTCTGTCGTGACACCCCCATTGCCCCCTCTGCTTCCGCCGGCTATTTAGGAATATTACTTGAAGTAGTTGACGAGCATCTATCCTTTTCCGACCAAATACCAGCGGTGTGTACATCTTTTAACACGAAAGTAGGAGCCTTTGTGCATACAAAACAGAATCTCAGTATCTTGGCAAGCAACTGTTCTACCTCTCTATAATTCAGTCTACACTTGTGTGTGACAGCACCGCATACGTACACTGTTTGTCGCAAGCTCTTTATAACAAACTTCTTTCTGCCAACCGCTTAGCGCTAAAGATAATTTTTTTTCCTTGGATAGAAAGACTCCAACTGCCCTTCTCTACAGTAACACCAATGTATACACCCTTGAACAACGCCTCAATTCCAAGACCTATGTATTTGTGTATCACTGCTTGAATGGTCTTGCCTGCTCTCTCCTATGAGACCGCTTTACTCTTCGTGCTCACGGTGCTCACACTGCTGCCCTTACCTGTGGTCAGG